TGTGCCCACCTGTGGCCTCGCAGACCCTAATTCCAACTCTATAAAATCCTATTTTTGGAGAAAAAATCAAGGAGAAAGAATTATTGCATTTCACGAGACGGAGCCGCCGCCTCCTGTTCTTCATCGGGAGGCCAGATCTGGAGTCCGTTTGGGGCTCCCGAGAGGGGGATCTTCGATCTTCGTCATCACCAACCCATCTCCATCGCCAATTCCATGATGCTCCCCATCGGGAGTGAATAATTCCTTCGTAGGCTTGCTGGTCGGTGAGGAGTTTGATGAGATTCATCATGTAATCGACTTAGTTTTGTTCGGGCTTGATCCCTAGTATCAATTATGTTCCGAGATTAATGTTGCTATGACTTTGCCATGCTTAATGCTTGTCACTTTGGGCCCGGGGGCCATGATTTCAGATATGAACCGTTTATGTTGTCACTATTATATCTATGTTCTAGATCCAATCTTGCAAGTTATAGTCACCTACGTGTTATGATCCGTAAACCCTGGAGTGACAGAAGTCGGGATACTTTCAGGTGATGATCATAGTTTGAGGAGTTCATGTATTCACTATGTGCTAATACTTTGTTCCGGTTCTCTATTAAAAGGAGGCCTTAATATCCCTTAGTTTCCATATGGACCCTGCTGCCACGGGAGGGTAGGACAAAAGATGTCATGCAAGTTCTTTCCATGAGCACATATGACTATTTACGAAATATATGCTTACATTATATTTATGAACTAGAGCTAGTGTCATATCGCCCTAGGTTATGACTGTTATATGATGAATATCATCCAACGAATTCACCGATCCAATGCCTACTAATTTCTCTTATATTGTTCTTGCTAAGTTACTACTACTGCTGTTACCGTTACACTTGCTACAAAACCATTGCTATCATTGTACTATTACTATTGCTATTGCTACTACTATCAAAACTATCATATTACTTTGCTACTAATCACTTTGCTATAGATAATTAATCTCCAAGTGTCGTTGAATTGACAACTCAACTGCTAATACTTGCAAATATTCTTTGGCTCCCCTTATGTAGAATCAATAAATTTGGGTTGAATACTCTACCCTAAAAAACTATTGCGATCCCCTATACTTGTGGGTTATCAATGCACTTTGAATGACAGGAGTAGCTACCATCACCGACGGTCGCAAATGTCAGAGAGGAAGAATCCCGACTGTTGTCGTGGGGGTCGCTTCTCCTTCGTTCCCGTGTGCTATACATTTTGGTGTAATGCACTCAGGGACGAAGGAAGGAGCGACCATCATCGCGGTCGAATATATACACCACGTGAGCTGAGAGTTTTCAAGAAAATACTCAACAGATTGATAGTCAACCCGTGATGAATAATAATGATCTAATTTAGTTTTTGTAGTTCATATATTGAATTTTAGAAGTTTAATCTTTGAATTATGAACATAGTAAATGTCTGACAATGACTATAAGATCTCGGAGTGTGACTACTGCGGCGACGACCGGGATCGGTGCGACAGGCCTCACCTGGTAGACGGTCCGCGCTTTAGTATTAAGCTCGACGAGACCTTCGATGTTGAGACGGTACGCAGCGACAACAAGTCTTTTTTTGTAATTAAGCATGATTTCTGCTTCTTCAACGTGTAATTTCCATCTTTTACAATTCGACTAGCTTATCCCATGCCATGCAAGACGCTATGTCTTGGAGAAGCTGAATTTTGAAGATCATGAGAATATGAAGACAAAGATAGTTCACCATAGGATCCATCATGGTTATGCTTTTGCCGTAAAGTTGTACAATGCGGAGAGCGTATCCCATTTTGGTTGCTCCAATTGGGAAGCACCGTGCAAGGCGTATGGTTTTTAGGAGGGTATGCATGTCACCTTCGATCTTGGTGATCCTGAAGATGACCTCGACAAAGATAATGTTGATGAAGATAATATCGACGAAGAGATTCTCGACATTTGGGTCCTTGTTGATACGCCTCCACTTCTACCTCTACGTGAGTTTCTCAAACATATTTATTAAGTAATTTATATTGTTTATTTCAAAATAGTTGACAGCTTATTTCCATTGACAGCTTATTTTCATTCTTCAAAAAATGTACGGAAGATAGTAGACAGAACCTACTACACTGATGACTCTGAATTAACTTATAAGGAGAAATATCATCTTATCTCATTTATTATTGATGTTGAGAATTACAATATGAATTATGAAACTCCTGCACATTATGGTCAATACGTGCCACTAGTTCACGTGTTGAACTACGGTAACATCCATGGAGATGGCATGGTAGGATTTTTTACTATTACGACATCCATGCATCTTTTGCATACATTCTTCTAAAGCTAGATTACATTTCTAACTACGACATTATTATTATGTTTTTCAACAGAAGATGCTAAAGGATTGTGTTCCTCATCTGATGTTTCTAAAAGGTCGCCTTGATGTTATTAGCTTACGGTCAAGTCTGCCTAGGCTTCACCGCTGTTCATACAAGATTTTCATTGAAGACATGACAATCAAAGAATGAAATAAATTTATGAAGAATCAGAGGGAGCTACTTGGAAGCAACATTGTGGGAAGCGCAAAAACTGAAGACAGGATAATCTTCATTCTCCATAATGGAGAGTCAGGAACTATCTTGTTTTATACTATTTTATCTTAGAGAGGGTAGTAGGTTCTAGCTAATACTCATGATCATGTGTTAATGACAATTAAGTAGGGTTGGTTAGATGACTACGATGATGACGAGTATGACTTGTTATTATGATAATGAGTAGAAGTTGTTCGATGACTATGATGATGGTGAGTATGACTTGTTATTATGATAACAATGATGAGTTATTATTAATGATGATGATACTTACTTGTTATATCATTATGAGCATGATCAGTTATTATATATATCAGTGGGTGAAATAAACATGGATTAGATTCAAGTGAAGGCAACACATGGTGCAGATCGAAAGTACTACTAATCCAAACTTGATCATACTAATGTTGCCTCCACTTGAATTTGAATCTAATCCATGTCACTCTGACCCACTTAAATAATAACTCATCATGATCATCAAATCATATGACGAGACTAATATAAACCAGTACAAATATAGCGGCAATACGCAGAAGAAAAAAATAGCAAACTTTATCAGTAGCACCGGTAGCCCACCAGACGCTACTGCTAGGGAGGTGTAGTAGTAGTGCTTGGTGGAAAAAGACGTTGCTGCTAGAAAGGTGTAGTAGTAGTATCTGACGGGAAAACACGCTACTGCTATGCAGAGTAGTGCGCCCCGACCCACGCTATTATTGAACATTAGCTGTAGCGCCGTATCAGTAGCGTGCTTCCCTCACCACTACTATGCCTCCAACCCGCGCTACGGCTAGGATTTTCCCTAGTAGTGGAACAGAGATATGCCCTGTCACTGCTACTTGTGATTATTTGCTTTTGCCACCACTACCCGTTATGACACCCCTCCTAACGCTCTCTACCTAAGCCATGAGGAGGACACTGGCTGAGGGTTGGACTCTCTCATGTTGTAACCTACGCCAAGAGCAAAGAGCACCACATGTGTAGAGTATTATCTCCACCGAAGAGAGCCAGAACCTGTATAAACCCTTGTGCGTACTCCCATCCATACAGTTCGATAGATACGATTGCCTCTACACACATACCCCTATAGTATCGTCAGGATTATATTCACCGCATGGAGGAAGCATGGCGAGGCAACAACAAGGGGATGAGCGGCACATGGTGGGATGAAGCCGATGAGGTGGTCGCGCTCTTCATCGCCTCCCTCGACCCCATCTTGTCTTGTTTGGTCGTTTCCTTTAACCCAACTTCGATTGATCCTATCGAATAGGTAACCAGTTGAAATGATCGGAGGGAAAAAATCATCCTAAAAAACCTAACGTGTGGGCCTAGACCTGGAAAAGCAAGAAAAAGTTCACTTTGTGTCATTTTATCTAGGTATCGGTCAAAAGTGTGTCAATTAATCAAAGAAAAGAAAAGCCCGCTCCCCTAAGAAAAGTCTAGGGTTCCTCTGCCTCCTGCAGCCGCCGGTCCGCCTGGTTTCCGGTGGCCTTAGAGCCATGACGACGCAGTGGATCCCGACCCTTGTCGGCGGGAGGGATCTGTTTCTAGATGTTCCTTCGAGTTTTGTTAGGTTTTGTGTGCTGCTTAGGAAGACGAGACGACAACGACGACGACTCCCTAAAGATGGAATAAGGTTCTCCCCGCCTAGTCCCGTCCCGGTGGTGTGTCTAGTATCGTCGATGGACGTGTGAAGGTGTGTCTCCGACGGATCTGTCCTTGGTGGATTTGCTCAAATTTGATCGTAGTTCATCTATGTTGATGTGTCTTCAGGTTGGATATTTTCGATCTACGCTACTCCTCATCGACGACGGGCGTTGTTCTACTGTGCTAGTCCTATGGGGCCTTAGCATGACGACTTCCCGACTGTTTACTACAACAAGTTTTGTTCGGCTCCGGCGAGGAATAGAGGATGACGGTGGCGTGCCTTCGGCTCGCTTCAGTGCTTGTAGTTGTTGCTAGACGGTTTATGAATCTGGATGTAATTTTTTATTATTTTTAATGTTTGTTGTACTGCCATGATTAAAGATGATTAGAACGAAATTTTCTGGCAAAAAAAATTAATCAAAGAAAAGAAATGTGTGCTACTGAATCAAATCAAAGTCTTAAAAAAAGCGTGTCATTTTATCAAATTGCTCTAACAAAAAAAAGAAAACAGAAACGAAGTGAGCAGTGGAAAACAGGAAAGACAAGAAACAACTGCGCGAGTACCCGTCCCGTCTGTCCCGCGGCCGCTTCCCTCCCCCTCCCACCCTCTTCCTTCCACCCGGATCTTGCGCGCGGCGGAGATAACACCGAGCCACCTCTTCAGCCCTCTCATCCGCGCGGATGAGCGGCGGCTCGGCCCCCCTCCCCTACTCGATGCGAGATGTGGATGGCGGCGCATACAACAACGCCAAGTTCCGCCAACGATCTCGCCTCAAGGTGCTTGTGATCCAGGGCCCTATTTCCTTTCGCAGTATTGGGAGACCTGGTCTCTGCGGCAGTCACTACGATGTTCTGGAATCGGTGCGCTGCGGCGATTAGACTCGCTTTTAAGTGATTCGATCGGTGTATGTTTATTCGAGGAGCTGAGAACCCGGAAATCTTGTTGGTTCTGAGGGGTTCGTGACCTCGGATCTGTGGGTTTACCTACTTCCCATAGAGGTGCTGGAACGGATCGTACGTTTGGATCTCTGTAGCTTCGGGTCTTAGGTGCTTATTTTGGCTTAGTGATCTGTCTGAGGCTGCTAAATAAAATGAATGAAGTGGTAGATTTGTTGTGATAAATGATTGTGCAGCAAAGTTCACATTGTTGGTATATATTGCCCTAATCATCTCCATTGGTTTTGTCACCCTAAAAGAATCACACGGCATCGACAGGCATGGAAACTGTTGTGCTTTACCATCACTAGATTGCCAGTCAATTGAATCAAAGCGGAAACATCTTTAGTTGTTCATTTTTGTTTGACTCGTTTGTATTTTAGTTTGTACTTGAACTATGCATAATTGTTCGCCGGTCTGAAATTGAGTTGGAGGCTGGTTATATGTCATGTTACCGCATGGAATTAGCCAAGATCACGATACCTCTAGAGGTAGGAATTTAAGGAAAAACAAAAACATTCCAGTATAGTTTCTAAAACTATATGGAAAACTATGGAGTTCGATAAAGTCAGTAAAGGCTTTCTCTCTTTTGTGTTCGATTTTGGCAGGCTGGTTGTATGTAATATTACGTTACTGCATGAAATTAACCAAGATCATCATATCTATAGAAGTAGGAAGTTTAAGCAAAAACAAAAATATGCAGTATAGTTACTTAAACTTTCTGGACAAGGACAACCATGGAATTCCGTAAAGTTAGTAAAAACGTCCTCTCTATTTTTAATGTTTAAAATCCCTGCATTTTTCAATATATTTTCCTGAATGTCCTTGATTTATAAATTTCCTGCAATATTCCTGTAGTCCCCCTAGGCACATTTGATAAAGGAGATAAGACATCCAGGTTAACTATCTTGGTTCTTGTGTCAATTATGTTCCAACAGCACGATATGGTGCGGAAGTCGATCTGGGATGCCGGGACAGGTACATGGACAACCAATTGTTTTTAGGTTGTAGCCGGGTCACTTTATCTATAGAAGTAGAGAAGTTCAGGGAACAAGAAAAACATTCCAGTAAGTTACTATAAATTCGTAGAAAATTATGGAATTCGGTGATATTACTGAAGACTTTTTTCTATTTGTTATTTTCAAAATTCTAGTATTTTTAAAAAACCTTTTTGCATGGTTAAAAAAGTGCACACAGGTGTGCACTTTAAGTGTGCCTAGGCACTAGGCTACAGCAGAACGCCTTGCACTTAATCGTGCTAGGCGTGCGCTTAGGCGAGATAGGCGCTAGGTAGAGGCAAAACTAGGAATTTACACCTAGTGCTTTTTGCAACGTTGCTTTTTTTAAAGGCTCGTGTTTTCTCTCTAAATTTTCTTGAATATTCCCGTAGACACTCATAGGTACATTTGATAAAGAAAATAAGACATTCTTAAACTAGTTAACTATCTTGAGTCGATTATGTTCTAACATCTCGACATGTTACATAAGTCTATCTGGGATGACTAGGACAATCTTTGGTAGGTTGCTACGTGCAGAGTACATGGAATTGGATTTAAGATTAAAGATTTCTAGCCTGTCACATGGTTGTTTATATTGAGCTCACGGTATAATTAGTTGCCCTTTTCGACTTAGCCCTTACTTTTATTGCTCCAATCGAAGGCAGTTAGTTAACAGAGGAACATTGCCATAGATGTCTCTGGTCACATTTGAGAAAGGAGATAAGATGTCTAATTTTGGTTCATTATTTTGAGTCGGGCATGTTCCCATGTTGGATGGGTACATATGTATCTATGATGTTTTTTGGTGACTTGACTAACACGAGAAACATTATCTTGGTGGACTTTACCTAGGTGTACTTCTTTTTCTTGGTGATTACATATGGTGGAATACGTTGCCTTGGACTATATGTGATTTTCATTTCCTTGGCACTTACATGTAGTGGATCTCAATGGCTAGCGCCTTTTCCGTCAATTTTGGTAGAATTAAGTAACTATAATGGTCGTGACTGGTGTAGGTATAGTTATGATGACCATGGCTGTGATTTGTTTAGGCACATCTATGATGATTCATCGGTTTGTGATCCACTAATAACAAGGGGCCCTACAATTCAGTGGCCATATATTTTTGTTTTTTGCGGGATTCTCTAGTCTAAACATGTACTCCCTCCGTCCCATAATGTAAGACGTTTTTTAACACTAGTGTAGTGTTAAAAAGTGTCTTATATTATGGGACGGAGGGAGTAGTTTCCGTCTGTCGTAGAAGTGCAAACACTGTTGTGCATGAGTTATTCAAATTTGGCTGTTTGTATCACCTGAACCACTGTGTGGAATGGGGGTCTGATGCACCAGCCCATGTGTCCGATTGTGTCGCGGGCGACCTGCCCAAGCACCGTTAAGTTTTAATAAAGCTATGCTTTAAAAAAAAAAAGGGCAACCTGGTGCATGTAGCTCCCGCTTGCGCAGGGTCCAGGGAAGGGTCCGACCACTTTGGGTCTATAGTACGCAGCCTTTCCCTACATTTCTGTAAGAGGCTGTTTCCAGGACTTGAACCCATGACCTCATGGTCACAAGGCAGCAGCTTTACCACTGCGCCAAGGCTCCCCTTCTAATAAAGCTATGCTTTATCTCAAAAAAAATGTATTGTGTTTTTAGTATATTATAGTTACTTGTGTCTGTCCTTTCTTATGAGGGAGCATATTTATCCGAATTCACATCAGTTTCTTTCCTTGCCATGTACTCCATCCGTCCCATAATGTAAGACGTTTTTTAGCACTAGAATATGTATGTATTGTTGTTATGTGCTAATTAGTTCTTTCCTCTAAGGTTTTTTATTTCTCATGTGTAGATGGTTACCCAGGCTCTTATTTCTAAGAGCAGCAAATACCAATTTGGAAAATTCACCCTTGGGAAATTCTTGAGTCTTCTAATGGTTTCTGGCTTAATATACTTGCTTGCGCACAAAAGTTCGAAGGGTTTTGTATCTGGTGAGCTCCATGACAAAGAAGTAGAGAGTAGACATGCCAGTAAAGATTCTCCCACTATCCGTACATTCTGGAGAAAGCCACCAAGGCTACCTCCACGTCTTCCTCCAAATGAAATATATAAGAACAGTTCAACACTTCACCACCCCACTTCATCTGAATGGACATCCAGGCAGAAGAAAGTTAAAGAAGCATTCGAACATGCATGGTCTGGCTACCGAAATTATGCGATGGGTCATGATGAGCTTATGCCTTTGAGCCGCAGAGGTGTAGACGGATTAGGAGGTCTAGGTGCTACTGTTGTGGATTCTTTAGACACTGCAATAATAATGGGTGCTGACGATATTGTGTCTGAAGCATCAAAATGGATTGAAGACAACCTAATGAAAAAGATCAGCGAGAAAGGGCAGGTCAACTTATTTGAAACCACTATCCGTGTCTTGGGAGGGCTTCTTAGTGCATATCATTTGAGTGGTGGAGACCAAGCAGGAGGAGGTGATTCTGGGATAGCAGTAACACCTAACAAGACTAATCCAGATCGTCTTCTGGCAGTCTCAAAGGATTTAGCAGACAGATTATTGTTAGCTTTTACATCAAGTCCATCGGCTATACCTTTTAGTGATGTTGTTCTTCGTGATCGTTCTGCACATGCATCCCCTGATGGCTTAAGCAGTACCTCTGAGGCTACAACATTGCAACTGGAGTTCAGTTACCTTAGCAGAATATCAGGAGATCCAAAGTATGACTCAGAGACAATGAAGGTGTTAGAGCATATGCGAACACTCCCAACAGTGGAGGGTTTGGTGCCTATTTATATTAAGTATGTATGGCTTCAACCCTTATGTATCTTGTGCGACTATGTAAACTTTACCTGTCATCATATTATATTGCATTTTCCTATCATCAGAAGCATTAAATTGTAGAAGAAATGGCTATGGTCTCATTCTTGCCTTCTTGTATGCAGTCCCTACTCTGGACAGTTTAGCGGAGAGAATATTCGACTAGGGTCGCGTGGTGACAGTTACTATGAGTACCTATTAAAAGTTTGGATTCAGCAAGAAAATTATCGTAACACTAGCTTGAAGTATCTATTTGAAATGTATACGGAAGCAATGAAAGGGGTCAGGCATCTTCTTGTTCGGAAAACTACTCCAAATGGGCTAGTTTTTGTTGGGGAGCTTCCCAGTGGACGAAATGGTGCTTTTAGCCCTAAAATGGATCACCTGGTATGCGACTCATCATGCATCTACCACTTTTTCTCTCTAATGAGAACCTCCTCATTTTGTAATACTTCTTTTCCTGAATAACCTTTTTGACCCTAATTTTGATGCACACTAGTTTTCCTTGAGAATTAATGTCATGTCTTCATTCTGTAGGTTTGTTTTCTTCCTGGCACCCTTGCTCTGGGTGCAACAAAGGGTATCACTAAGAAAAAGGCTCTTGAAAGTAATCTTCTAACTAAGGAAGACATAGAAAATCTTCAGCTTGCTGAAGATCTGGCTAAAACTTGTGTTGAGATGTACTTTGTGACTTCTACTGGACTTGCTCCTGAAATTGCTTATTTTCACATTGAGGTAAGCAATTCACTGAGCTATGGAGTATCTTGACATACTCTTGAGCTATCCACATAACATTTTATTTTTCTTATATTTTAACATCTTATTTGGGTCTGGATGTTGCAGGGTAATCCTGAAGGTGGACCTGATGGTGGGAACAAAAGTTCTGAATATATTAGTGACATCATAATCAAGCCTCTTGATCGTCACAACCTTTTACGCCCAGAGACTGTGGAATCCCTATTTGTTTTGCATAGAATCACAGAGGATCCAAAGTAAGATTTTGGGATATTGTATAACCTTCAGGCTGCCTACTTTTGTGTTGCATCATGCTAGCTGTTGTTTACTATTACTGTTATAAAAAAAGCTGTTTTGTGCACAGGTATAGGGAGTGGGGTTGGCAAATTTTTCAGGCCTTTGAGAAGTATACAAAAGTTGATTCTGGTGGTTATACTTCACTGGATGATGTCACAAGCCTACCTCCACCTAGGAGAGACAAAATGGAAACCTTCTTCCTGGGGGAAACATTGAAGTACCTGTATTTGCTGTTTGGTGAAAGTAATATTCTTCCACTGGACAAGTATGTATTTAATACTGAGGCCCACCCACTTCCGGTCATTCGGTCTGTGGTACAGGTTTCTAATACCGTATAGCATCAAATGTATCACTGTTGTACTTAGTGTACTAAGATGAGAAAGGTTAACTAACAGAAATGTGAGAAATCTTAGAACTTTGTTTTGGACAACCAGGCTGAAACAATGAGTAGCTTTCTCCTTTCTGGATGTTTGTGCTTGTGCCACAGGTGGTTCAAGTGGCAAGAAAATCGTTCTTGGAAGCAAAGCTCAAATATTTGTCATCTTAATAGTTTGATACAGAGATCTGCACTTGTATTTATTGGAAGATCATATATCTTCTCTAAACTGTGCAATCCATTCCAATTCTGAAATTACTTCATGGCACCACCAAGATTTTTATCTTTGTTATATCTACTATCATGTGTCAGCCGTCCAACCTCATATAATGTCCCACCAAGTTGGACTATGCCTACCTGGTGAGTGAAACTATGGCTCTATATCTTATTATTATCTCCAGTTGTTGCTCATTCCTAGCCCTTTTTGTACATGCTTCTCGTTTTTATTTGTTGTATTATGGTGGGTACTTTAAATGCTTGGTTCTAAAAATATTTTGATATCTTCAAACTGGATAATCCTGATTTACATCCTTCATTAGTGGCCACCAAAAATAGTTTTTTTTGCGGGTGACCAAGAATATTTGTTACTATAACTTTATGATACCCTAGTTCAACAGTTATCTCTTGATACCGCTGACTGCTGACTGCTGACTGTTTCCAGTTTTGAAATAGCAAATCGTACTAGTTTCTGCCAATTACATCATTTTGTCATTCAGTTCTAGTGCCAGATTTTGATTATATTTCATAAAAGAATGTTTTGTGTCTCCCTGCATTTGTATACCATACAATTTCTTGGTACTGATCAGCCTATTCTTTCTAAGATTTTATCAGGCGTCCGAATTTCATTTCCGCATGACCTGAAGTAAATGAACCATGTGTACCATCTTGATAATAGTTTTGACTTGTGATAGGATAATCTAGTGTTCAAGCTGTGTTGTTTGTTCATCATATGCATTTAAACAGAATAAGTATTGTGATATATACAACTCTCAGATTTGGCATGCTTGTACTTTGCTGTTTATGCCTGTAATAATGACTGGAAATTCTTCTGCTGTCAGATTGTTGAATATTTTATGGTGCTGATGAATTCGTGGTTACGTTTTGTCTCCATTTTCCAATTTGCATCACTCTAATTTTCCATTCTTGCACCTTCGTTAATAGTTTTTTTTTTCATGACTTCATGTCTGCCATGGAATTTTGACTTCCAGTTAGCCATTAACTCTGTCCATTGCAGGTGTACCTTTTGTCTCAAGAGAACTGCCCATGCTTGTTTGGAAAGATATTAGTGATAATAACATGGATAAAATCTGTAGAACCAGACATGCAAGATTTTTTCACATAGTTGCATGCTTTTGACACATCGATCACAAATTACGCCTTTAACAAAATTTCATTCAAGTTAACAAACTTGAGGTCAAGCACACACATGTCAACGATAGATGCAAGGGCTTATTATTTTCAGTTGTTAGTAAGCTCACTGCTTCTTGCATCAATTCCCGGAGTACAATTATTTAAACTTTGTGTTTGTGCTGAAAATATCATTGACCATATGTGCTGAAAATACCACTGAACCATAACTTCAGTTGGCAAACATGCATTAACAAGTCATCATTTTATGAATTCTTGCCTTTTTTAGTGTCAGAAGGAACTGCCATATTACCTACCAATAAACTAGCTTTGAGCAACAATTATTTTGTATTTACAGTGCAGACGAGCTCTTGATTGAACAGGTCAAACATTTAAATTCAATTGGAATTTCAGAAAAATGGTTAGTACTCGAGTGAGGTCACTGCCTTCCACAGCACAACCATCTCTATTCTTCAAAGTATGGAGAAGTGAGGTAAAGGACTGTCGGGCATTTTCGTAAGAAAGAATTGTCTGGTTCCACAGCTCTTTGATTATGGCTTATCCAGTTTGTTCTAGTGGACAGTCTGCTAACTACTCGTACTTAACTGTAACTCTTTGAAATTTTGTGAGCAAGATAAGTTCTCATTCGTGGCTGTGTCCTAGACTAACCAAATTGCCTGAGTACACGGAAATGCTTTAAAGATAAAATGATTCCACCGCCTTAAACAACTTTCCTGTCTCTTGATGTACTGATCTCTTCCATGTGTACCAGCCGTTTGGCTTGTCTAGGACAGACCTTTAGAATGTTAACTGGCATTCAGTTTTGCTCGTAGAATTACATGGCCTTGTCATTAACTGGCCATCATCCAAGAAGTTTGGGAAGCCTTCATCCAAGAGTTATTGGACTAGCAAATGCAATGTCACTGGTCCTTCAAAGAGCTAACAATTGCCAGTAATAGTTTATGATATTAAATTACTGTGAATTGGCAATAATTTTAGTAAATGTTTTTTTTGCGGGGGCTTAGTAAATGAATCGGTTGCTTTGAAGAACTAATAAGTACTCCCTTCGCCCGGAAATACTTGTCCGAGGAATGGATGTATATAGATGTATTTTAATTCTAGATACATCTATTTGTATCCATTTCTATGACAAGTATTTTTGGACGGAGGGAGTATGGATAAGGTATACAAACGTTGCCTTGTAAGTGTAAGCATGCTACATTTGCAAATTATAACCGCCCTGCAATTTTTCTTCTAATTCCTGCAACTAACAGGTGATTGTTAAGTTCTTGAAGTCGATTTGTTTTGCATGTGGCGCAACTGTCATGCTGATACAGAGGACGTGTGTTAGAGAAAGAAGTTGTATCGTTTAGTATTGGAGCCCTTGATTTGTCATACCGTGGCCCATGCTGTAGAACAGCCATTGATTTGTGTCACCCGCAAAGCAGAAATAAACATCGCTACTCTATCTTGCGGTGCACCGTGACTTGTATTTATTGCTAGTCCCCGTGCATATGCATTTAGGTACTTATTTTTATTTTGAAAACTAGCACTCCCAAAACTACTGCATTGTAGTATTAGTCTTCGAAAGGAGTTTAATCATTCTGTAGTTGTAGTCAATCCAATGTTTAGCACTAATTCTATTAATTATCTCTTTGGCCCTTGCTTTACCTTGAAATTACAATCATCTATCTAATAATGCTATCGTGTCCGAGAAGCTGAATATCACGTCTCAGAATACAGGCATGGTTAGACCACCTAAAATAAATGCAAATACATGAAACATGATATAAATTTCTATATCATCCAAATAAACCGTGGAACAAGAATGCGAGTAGGAAAACATATCACTAGGAGATGAATGTAGGTGTTTGACACATACTCGAGCTTGAAGAGTTTCTACTCCCTCTATTTCTAAATATTTGTCTTTCTAAATATTTCAACAAGTGATTACATAGGAAGTAAAATGAGTGTATTACACTTTAAAATATGTATATATACATCTGTATGTAGTAGTTCATTTGAAATCTTTAGAAAGACTTGTATTTAGGAACGAAGGGAGTATTAAGTAATCGCCTTGATCACTTGCCATGATCCTACCGAAGTATGAAAATTGAGAAACACAACAATGCTGTAGATGTTTTGAATCCTGAGAATTGTATAAAAAGTTACAAAATGTCTGGTTTGCCTAGTGATACGCAAACAATCACTGTGGTGGTTCTTGTGGGATTTGGTTTTAATTTTTTTGAAACAATGCAAAATATTTGGCATTTCGTTGATTAAAAGGTTTTAGACAAGACCTACAAGTAAAATGAAGTATGCTCTTGCAACATTACAATACCCGAATGGTAAAATGAAGTATGCTCTTGCAACATTACATTACCCAAATGTTTTGTGCCCGTCAGGGCCCAAAGACACATCTCCTCTTTAATCTTGTTGATAACAACCATTGGAGGTACGATGGTGTCGTGAAAGATCCTAGCATTGCGCTCTAATCAAATCTCCCATGAAATGAGCATCATCAAGGAGGCAAGCGCCTTGGTAGATCCATGATAAATCTGAAGATTATCGTTACATCAATCTCTCACAGATACTTCAATTATTCTACTTATATTCAGTCAATATTGTTACAATTATACATAACTGGCCTCTTTTGGTTCATAGGATAGGATTATCATATGAATAGGAATTTTGTAGGAAATGAGATGACATGTATCTCAAATCCTATGAGTAGGAATAGAAAACAAGATGTCACTTGGTTGACACCAAAGGAATTTTTTCATTGAGTCTAGGCTCTTTTTTATTTTTCTATAAAATGTGGAGGATAGGAACCAATTCTATGTAAGAATAGCAACCCATTCCTATGAACCAAAGGGCTCTAAAGGAAAAAATTCTATAAGAATCCAATCCTCTAGAATTCCTATGAAATTCCTCTAAACCAAAGGAGGCCTAAATATAGTAAGTCATATGTATTTTTAATTTGGTTCTCGTGTTAAGAACCTAAATTTCCATCCACCAATTCCCACATCAACGTGTGGGGTATCCTCTAGTTAAGATAACATCTAACTATAGCATTAAACTTTTGAGTTCTGATAGCCCCTCATGCAACCGTTCATAAACTTAGGGTTTGGTAATTTCTTTTACTCCAACCACACATCATAGATAAAAATCATGCAATGCTCTCCCTAGGTCCATAAAGATGAAGTGATGTTTTGGTCCCAAAGAAAAGATTAAGTGATATGCAGTCAACATTCACATATCACCACTAGAGAATTACACCACAATATAATATAAAATACGTGAACTTTATTCGATTTCACATTATTACTAGTAACTAGGTTTTCTCATGTCTCAAGAATGTAAAGGACTGCTCACAAGATATCATATGGTTCATGACTAGTTATGATGAATATGATTAACAATCTGAACATATAAATCTTTTAGTAAATAAAACTTCTAAGCATCAACTACAGTTAGTAATCAACACCAGAAAAGTAAGGATATGATACAATAGTTCATAGATTGAAAGCAAGTATTGGAGATGGATGACACCGATGATGGTGCTGTTGTTGATGATGATCCCCACAATGAATGGAGAGTTGGTGATGTCGATGG